ATATATATATATATATATAGAGTATACATATACAGACCGAAAACTTTTGGACCTTATTCTTATCAATATATATTTTGTTGTTTTTTGTATTATTTTATAAACTGAATCCACATTTCGATCATGAAAACGATAATACAAATATTGTCAGTACAAATTTTTATTAAATTTGAATATATTTTATCTTTTACGTTTACGTTTGTTATTAAATCCGCCATTTTAGACTGTTACATTATTATACCTTTATTGTGTTTAGTAATTTCAACAAAAGTGGCTGAATTAAAAAAATGACTAAACTAGATCTTTTTTCTCTCTTAAAGAAAATCAGATGTGAAAGGGTTAAATAAATCTTTATCACTTACAGATGTATGGGCTTCGACTCGACTGGAACAAGTCGAATGTGCAAGAATGTCGTACGTCGCGGGTACGAAAAGCGTACGTTGTTTTGCGTCCCATGAACATTTTATATTGACGGTTGCTAGTTTAAAATACCGAAGCGTCGCGTTGAAAACGCGAACGCCATGTAAATCAATCAAAATTGATTTAAGGATCCCGGTATATAATAAGCATACGTATATTGTAGATGCATATGAGACGCCCATTTGTCTCTGTTAATTTGTATTTTAATTTTCATGCTGACGTTTAGACTCCTAATTTGCTCACACATTTAAGAAATGCATCGCATTGCGATCTTAACGTGAATTATTATTTTCGAAAAACCTGACGAATTCGTATAGATTGTAACGCACGTGCCGTTATTTCTCATTAAACGAATGATTTCGAATGTTTATCAATGTGTTAGTCAATGTAGAAGTAATTGCTTCTTTTTCTGCCTTCGATTTCGGTTACATCGAAATGGTTAATCGGAAATGGCGCAATTTGAAATAACACGCTGTTTATTACACAATTAGAAAATTTATGTTAAATTTAATATATATCACATATCAATAAGCACACAATGAAATGTACTATCAATAGAATAGTGCTCTCTTTTGTATCGTTTTAAATAATATCGAATCTCTCTCTGCGCAAGACGTTAAAAAAAACGTACGCGAAACAAAAAAAAATTGATCTCTCATCTCACCTCTCAACGACATAAAACGCCATAAAAAGCTAATCAACATTTTCTGGCCCGCTAACGAGACTTTTATAGCTTCACATTTACGAGCACCGATGTATTTACGCGCATGCATGAAGACGTCGCGTGATTTCGTAATATCGCTGTCACAAACCGATCATCGCGCGTAGAAGAAACATCGACTTGAAACGGAAATCTTACCGTGTATATGAAAAAAAAGTTTAAAAAAAAATCCGGATTGCCTCCCTGTATGCCCCCGCATACTCTGCCACGTCACGCTCGAGATAGCATCGAGAAGCCACGACTTTTTCTAAGTCTTAAGACTAATAAGAGTAATATAATCACGCTAATATCTGTATCCATAATGTAATCTCTTTACTTGCACATAAGCCTATAAGAACTGAGTCCAGACATTGAAGGATAAGATGACGATTCAATATCTCGGAACTAAAGTAATAATGTCTTGTTTAAAAAAAAAATAAAAAAAGTATCATACGTGTTTATATTCTTTTATCTCCGAGGCATAGAATGACAAACTGTCTTTCTAGTAGTCTTTGTTTCGAATTGTATCAGCAGAAAATCTACAGATTTAATAAAATCTGGCACATATAGGATAGATCGGGGCTATTTCTCGCAATAATGTTTATATTTCTGAACTGCACACGTTGATTATTTAAATTTGTGCCTCTCAAGGAGCAATTATGATTGTATAATGTAATTGTATAAGCACGTCACTGTAAAGAGATATTATTTGCTATTGTAAATTTTCATATTATTTTAAAGTTGAAATTGACGGAATAGTCCCACTCTATTCTGTGTTGTTGATAGAAAATATTAAAATTTATATCAACAAAATATGATGATAAATTAATGGCAAAAATTAAGCACACTTTAACATACTTGCTGCACAGTTTGACGTAGATTAGCAACAAAAATAAAACATAATTGGTTTCGTAATTGATTTCTCCCTATCTACTGTCAAATCATATCAGCAAGTACTGCCGATGATATATCCTATAAGACACAATATTTTTTAGAATATTGTACAAATATTAAAAAGAGTAAATAATATTTATATAACATTCTAAGAATATTATGTGTTTATAGAGTATGAACTTAATACAGACATGGTTGATGTTAATTAGCTAGCAATTTTTTATTTGTTATCAATCAGCATATATCAGCGGACAGTTTATTTATTGAGATTGTTATATATTATTTTTATCTGGAGACAATGATAGTGTAAAGCTAAGTTATGCGCAGCGACACTGCCGTGTCTCCTTTACGCGAACTGGCAAGTTGCGTCAGATCGAGGTTATCGAATTTCAATAAGGGCTGAACCGATCAAGTTCTAAGTGTGCTTAATCGATTGCGATCGCTCGGAATATATAATGAAAGTGTTTTTATTTTTTCTCTACGTGCCCTACAAACGGAGATATCGCGACACAAAGTATCTGTATTATTTTCACGAATGTATCTTAAGTTTTCTCACTCGAGATATTGATTCGTAATCTCTGCGAAATAAGAACTCGTGCCAATTATGACGAAGATGATTTACTCGAATTGTCATGAGGTCCATGACATCATCGAAACCGGTACCAATAATCCGTGGTTATGTAGTTCGTAAGGTTAAATTTGAAATAACTTTAATGTGCCACCGGTGAAAGCAGAGCCGCTTGCCAATTTATGCGCGCAATTTGATGGCGTGCATATGTCTACATGCGTGATGAGACAATATGAATACCCATTCATTCGCATAAACGTACATATACAGAAATAAGACACATATACACGTATCTGTTGCCAATTATATTAGAGCCGTTAGATTAGAGTAGAACAATCACGATCATGACATTTTGCTCGTTTGATGTTAATCATATTATGTACGTCGATACATTCCGATATCAAAGCAAGGATCAAAATACGCTTGTAAAACGCCTTATTATTATTGAGTACTATATACTATTTTTTGTTACATTTATTGCAAATAGCATATAGATGGATATTATTAATTTTATGGATTCTATTCAATTACGCGTAAGACACATATATATTATTATAATTATATATATTATATTATTATATATTATTATGAAATCTTATTATTATTTTTATACGAACATGAGTGTTTGTACTCACGAGTGAGAATGCAAATGATACCGAAAGAAAGGCAGAAAGCGAGAGAGACATCGAGAGAAAGAGCATGCATGAATGGATAGCTCAGAATGTCTGCGTAAACGGAAACGTCAGAAAATGTAAGAGAGAAAGAGAGATAGATAGAATTTACGAAATCAATCTTTACAAGATAGATGTACGAAACCAAGATCGTTATAGTTAGTTTTAGTCCATGACATTTTTTTCGCGTAATTATAATATCCCTTGCCCATCATCCCCGTGTCCTTTGATCGCTGCCGTTGCATCTCGAAATGACGTCAGAAAATACGACTCGTTACGTGAACGAACGGCTTTCTCATCAAGCCATT